CTCCTTCCTTTGCCTTTCTCATTTTTTGTCCTCCTTTCTCATTCCCTTTGCCCTCTCTCCATAAAAGAGTCTCTTCCTCTTTTCATCTCCAGACTAAGTTTTCCCTCCTTATCTCGTTTCTCTCCTTCACAGCTCCGATCCAGCCCAGCCAGCGCTGCTGCATAACTAGAAATAAATTACCCTTCATTCTGACCTAAATCAAACATCTTCCAATAAAAAAAAAAATATATATTGAGTATGGAAACTTATTGTGCATTTCTGGAGGAAAAAGAAAAAAAAAGTATAGAAGTTTGACAAAAAAAGAAGTCTGCTGAAAGCATCCARAAGGTTTGGATGAATTTAAAGCTCTGTGGAAGATAAAGTGGAGCGGTCAAAGGCTGGCTGGCACTGCGCCCCGTGTGCCACTCATCTGAGAGCTCAAACAGATCGATGCAGCCAAGAGGTCAGCGAGCAAAGAAGAYGAGGACAAAACGCTCAAGTCGGTCTATTTTCACCCAAACGCTGATCATTTTGCACCGCTGGAGATCAAATGAGAAACAAGGACGTCTTCTACTCTGAAGAAGAAGAATGAATTCAAATGTAAAGTATGGATTATAGTTTGTGTGAGGCAGAAGCCCGACATAAAACTGCACGTTTGAAGCAGCGTAAATGATCTTCAGTGGAGCTGTGACCCTAATGATGTCCTCCRTCGCCAAAATGTCAATAAGCTTATAGCTGGAAATAAAAAAATAAAAAAAGGTTGCTTATGATGCTCGGCTGCTCGAGTTCAGTCGAGGAAAATCAATTCTCATCCTCAGCAGCGTTCAGTGACACATCACAGACAAATCCTCATCAAATCCAAACACAYGCGGTCACTGAATATCGGCTGTTCAGGCAGAGTGGAATGTGCTGCGTCCTGCAGCGGGTCCTGAAACACGACTGCAGTGACTTATTACACATTTATAACATGCAGCATTACAGCTGAACACCCTCAGATCTGCAAAACTCTTCCATCAGGTTCAAAACTGACCCGAACACAGGAAGCAAAACAACCAAATCAAATCGTTTTATCTAGAGACTAAACCATAATTCACTGTAGGACGCGGTCGCGTGTTGTGGCTTTTATTTTGACGGGTCGCTTCATGTCAAAAGGGCTAAAACTTTCCTTTTATTGTGAAACATCTGGGACAATAAAAGATAAATGAAGATAAGTTTTATCTAAATTCTCCAGCTGTGGAGGAAGAGAACTGGAGGGAAATGCGGTTAGCATGAACGCTAATATTAAAGTGCGGCAGAAACAGAAACTAACGAACACAGAGGTGACACGTTAGGAGGTAAAAGGCAGTTTATGTTTGTAGATGATAGAAGGCAACACGAACTCAGATCCCAGCATAAATACAGGCTACAAACACACATATAACACGAACAAATCACAAGTAAAATCAGTGCATCGTCAACAAGATGGCAGCAGAACTTAAACTGTTCAACCCATCTGTTGAAAGTTGCTCTATTTTCTTTTCATATTGTAATATATTGTAATTTATAGTCCAGGGTTAGTAAAAAATATTAGAATGTCAGTTTTTCCAGTATCGTAGAGCTCTGAGCTGCACTCAGAGGAGCAGGCGTACATCTATGTTCTGCATAAAACACTGTTTCAGTGGTTTTCTTACTGAACTATTTAAACATTAAAACCTTTAGCTGCACAAATTCAGGGAAGCTTCAACGTTTCTCTTAAAAACATGAACTGCCTGAACCAGACTGAAGTGGTCCAGAGGGCTGATGAGATGCAGCTAAATCACCTAAAACCCGATCCAGCTGAGTTCTTAAGTCCCCCTCGGTCCATGTTCTGAGCCCTAAAGTCTTTCCTGAGAATCTCATCTCAACCATTCATTCATCACTTTACTTTAAAGTCGACATGTAAACAAACCGGCGGCACGGTGGCTCAGTTGGTAGAGCTGATGCCTCTCAGCAAGAAGGTCACCGGTTCAAATCCCGGTCCGGGGACCTTTCTGGGTAGAGTTTGCATGTTCTCTCTGTGCATGTGTGGGTTCTCTCCGGGTACTCCGGCTTCCTCCCACAGACCAAAAACATGACTGTTAGGTTAATTGATAACTCTAAATTGTCCCTAGGAGTGAGTGAGAGAGTGAATGGTTGTTTGTCTCGTTTGTCTCTATGTGTGKCCCTGTGATGGACTTGCGACCTGTCCAGGGTGTACCCCGCCCCTCGCACTGTGATTGCTGGATATGGGCACCAGTGACCCACGTGACCCTGAAAAGGAAGAAGCGTGTACAGAAAATGGATGGATGGATGGATGTAAACAAACCCTGTGGTGCTGAGGTGTAAACGTTCACACCTGTTGGCCGACGACTGACATCAGACCAAACTGATCCAAACGGACTCCATCTACAGATCCTGACCCTCGAAGGGACGGTGGTCTCAACAAATCATAGCACTTTATGAACCCACATCCAGGCAGCAATAATGTCTCATTAACAGAAAAAAATCTTAAAAAGATCAACCCAATATATATTTTTATCCATTTATGACTGCTCTTTTTGTCTTTACCAGTTCTTTAAACCTTAAAAAAGGGACTAACACTTTTTAGCTGTTAAATACATTTTGTTGTACCTGGAGTCTCTAGGAGGCAGGAAAGCTGAATTTGGTTTCTCCCGATGCTGCGTAGATATCTTTATATTCTGTTTGGGTCAGATTTTACAACACAATCAGTTTTTTATTTTTTGACGTTTTCTGAACTTTTGCATCACAGTATTTGTGACAGAAACTGTCAAATACGATCTGAACAACTAGAGTTTGTTGGTCTTTATTCTGCTCTGGATCTGGTTCCAACATGTGAGGCTGGATGGACAAGTCTTCTGTTGTTGACGTCTTTTAGGTCATTTGTAAAATAAATGTTTCTGTGCAGCTATATAGTCATAAACCCCTCTCTCAAACTGGAATGAACCTTATGGAAGTTGGAGCGGGGGCGGGAAGCACCTCACTTGGATTTAAAGAGACAGCCTCAAAATGTTCTGATCTGAGACACACCCCAGAAAATGGGCGGGGCTTGTGGAGTTAAAATAAGGAAGTATTCAAACTGAAGCATTGCAGTTCCACTTTATATAGATCCCAACTGAAGGATTTAAATGTAAAAGGATAGGAAGAATGGGCCTCATGCAAGAACCGTTCGTACACACAGATTTGTTCTTAAGTTGTGCGTACGAGTGATTTAGGAGAATTTGTGGCATTCACCAATGTTTTCGTATTCTAAGGTTTTTTTCAGATACGAACAAAATTTACGAGTGGTCCAGACCTGTCGTATATTTTACGAGCAGTCAGTCTGCTGTTATCCAGACTGATTTTCCTCCGTAATAACTTTATATTTCGTTAGTTTGAAGATATTTTGAGTTGAAAATAAATCACACTCCATAATTATCTTGACAATAGGCTATTCTGCTTGAATTAAGAGTTATAATTTTAAATGTAATGATTCAGACTAACAATATTAATTGTCCATCCGTCCGTTTTCCGCCGCTTATCCGGGATCGGGTCGCGGGGGCAGCAGCAGGAGACCCCGCTCTCCCCAGCGACACCTTCCAGCTCGTCCTGGGGGACTCCGAGACGTTCCCAGGTCAGAGGGGATACATAATCCCTCCAGCGAGTCCTGGATTTTCTTCAAAGTGCCAGACTTATTTTGAAAACATTTTAAAATGCTTATTTCAGAACCGCAACTGAGACCACTTGAGACCGCGCTAGGAGGTGGGAGGGCATACGGTGCGCGACGGTGTGTCTTCTGAATAAATGAAAATGATTTAACACAGTTGTTTATACTTTTAGCAGCTCTTTTTTATTCCACAGCTGAGCTGCTAAAAATGACAGATTTTCTTTTCTGGATCTCTGACAGACGGACTTCAATCTCTGAACTCTTAAAGTTCTTTTTAGTTTTCGCTGTCATTTTCATGAATGAATGAACACTTCCTGATATCTGAGGCAGGAAACATAGCCTTATATGGTGTTTTTGGGGTGGTAATTATGCTAATCTCCTCTCGCGTGCACGAGCAGCTGGATACGAACAGGTGAATTTACGCAGCTCATTTACACACTTTTCCTGAAGATAGAAGAGTTTGTTGAATCTGACGTGACATGTTCGTACGAACCCTTTGTACGAACAAAAGTAAGAGAAATTTAGGATAAGAATACAAACATGTTCCTGCATGAGGCCCAATATGTCTCCTTTAAAACCTAATTTTGTGCATTTTTTCTATTTTAAATCCTTCAACCAAAAATAATATCACAAATCTCAATTGTTATTTTGTGGTTCAAATGATAAAAAGTTTCACTAGAGGTATGCAAATCCTGGCCACACAAAGACAGCATGATTACAGAGAAGCAGCTTCAGTAAAAATAAATCATTTTAGAGTTCAAAAGATGCAAAACGACAGCAACAAAAAGTAAAATGACCGCGAGACAAAAGAATCTGTGGAGGAGTAGAACAATTACAGAGGCCCAAACAAGAGGAACGCCAGAAATTCTGACAAAGTTTTGAGCGATGCAACACATCTAGAGACAAAGAGACGCAGAAAGACAAAGTTGTGAATCTCAGCAGCCAGCAGAGCAGCACATCAGGTGTTTTCCTTCGCAGCACGATCAGGTCCGAGGAGCATCTTCTTTCCAACTCCTCGCATTGATCGGTTTCTCCTGGCCCGGGAAGAGCGGACAGGAGGTCGATACAAGCCGCACCCCCCACGGTGACGTCAGGGCAGGGCTCACCTCGCTGCAGCTCTCCTGGGCTCACCCATTAGGGTGCGAGAACGCAGCCGAGGATTTCATTTGTAGCCTAAACTGTTATTAGTAACGACAGGCGGGTATTGAGTGTGGCGCGGCGCTGCTGGAGGAAAATTGTGATAAATGACAGAAGAGGAGAGGCTCCTCCATCTCTAAAGAGCCGTGCAAAGACATGGAACAAAGGTGTGCAGCAGAATCTGAGCCTTCCAGGTCTGACTGATCCGGAGGCAGCRGCTTACCTGGTGGTCGATGATGCCACTGTAGCCCTGGAGGACGGGCAGGTGAGGCTTGGCCACGGTGGTGGGGGAKTCGGGGGGCCGCTGCTGGGCGAGCGTGTCGTTGGCGTCCCTGGAAGCACTGCTGAAGTTCCCATTGTAGACCAGGAACAAGCTGGCACACAGGAGCAGCACGAGCAGGACGGCCACCCCGTGGCGCTGAAAAACACAAACAGGTGATGATTAATTTCTGTTGATTTAAGACCGGATCAACTGCTTCAACAATAAACAACTGATGCTTCAGTTCTTTATAAAGGCTTCAAATGAACGAGGAAAGTCACGACCATGGATCAAAGGACACAAATACTGAAAAAGTTGAAATATTTTAAATATTAAACCACTTTAACTTTGTCTTCAAATGTCAAACAAACTAAAAAATATTTGATGCACTTTAAATAAAAGCTGAAGTTTTTTTTTGCAGTAGAGGTGAAAGCAGCCATGCAGCTGCAGGAGCTTAAAGAGGCTCACAGCTGGATGCCCATTGTTCTGATCCTAATCTCTTCATCCGACAAACAGGCGCGCTGCGATCCTGGCGCTCTCCAAGGAACCACACCGGCTCTACAGAGCGCACAAACCCACACCACACACACAAACATGTTCTTTTTACCATAGGTGTCTTCATGTTCGCTGCGCGCGCTCGTAGCTCTGCCTCCACTTCCTGTCAGGGTCCGGACTCGCGAGTCCACATCGTCCCGGTTCCGCTCAGGTCCGGTCCTCCGCGCGGTGCCAGCCTGCCGCTGCCTGTGCGAGTCTTCAGACCGGAGTCCGGTTCTTACAGAGGAGACAGATGTTCGCTCCTGGTCTCTGCTGGGTCCTAACGCCGGTCCTGTTCAGGGCACAAGGAGGACTGGAGGAAGTTTTTAACTGGAATGGTTTTTGACACAAACTGTCAGGTTGAGTATTTAAGCTCAAATATTAAAGAGGCAGTTCAGATATTTTGCAGCGGGTTTGTTTTAAACTTCTTTGTCTTATCTGCCCCCAACTTCAGTTTTCACTGAACTCTGCTGGTTTTTAGGCACCAGGTGTAAAATAAAATGATTAAAAAATGTTTTATCATTTAGCATGCTTTACATTTCGCTGTTTTACTAAATGTTAAATAATATTAAATAATATATGCATATATTAAATCCTGGATTTAAATGTGTAAATGTAGATTAAGTTAAATCCTAAAATATTGCAAATAAAAGGTTAAAGTTTACAATTAAGAATTTTGGAATGGAATTCAGYCTTGTGACATCATCATCCTGAGACAGCAGCTGCTAACACTGCTAATGCTTTTTTACAAGACGTCAAACTTTGCAGTTGCAGCCAGTGTCTGAGCTGCTCTTCAACCTGTCGGACCACAAGACCACCTATAGCAGTGTTAGCAGCATTAGCATCGTTAGCAACGTGAGTGGTTCCTTTTGTCTCCGGATGATGATGTCACAATAAAAGCCGCACCAACGACAAAGGCTGCATTCCATTCTGAAAAATAATTTCGCTGCAACATTTAAGTTTTAATTTTTATGTTCAGAATTAAAAAATTAAATTTAGGATTTAACATTTAGACATTTAAATTTAACATTTAGTAAAAAATTTGCAAAATATAAGAACAGAGGGCTAAGTACAAATAAAATGCGAGCTGAATAATGAAAACGAGTTAGTGGTTTTTTTTTTTTTACTTTTTATTTTACACCCTGGCCTCAAACCAATTTTTTTCTTTTACTTCAATTTTTTTCCTGACACAGCCTTCATCATTTATCTGGGCTTGGGTCCAAAACCAGAAATACACAGCATTTCCCCCTCCATGGTAGCATTTTGGAACTAGAAAAACAAACAAACATAGTCTGGACAATAAGAAGACAAGAGTAAATAAAACCAAGGAGCCCTCAGTTCAATACCAGACTCTCTATAAACATCTCTTATTCTCAAACTTGTTGCTGTTCCTTCATCTTTCTTTCATAATTTAGGTCACCTGTTCCCCACGCCTGTTCCAGCATAAATTAAATCATCACGAGACCCACATCCACACAACAGATYCCTGTAGGTCCTGTTAAAAGTAATAAAACCCAGCAGGGTATCTGTTGTTGTCTCCAATATGAATCAGAATCAAAGTTGTCTTGGTCGAGATAAAACCCAGGAATGCAGACTGACAAGAGCTCCAAAAAATGTTTAAATAAATAAAAATTAAACTAAATAAGGTGGCAAAACAGCAAACTACTTACCAAACACTGAGGAACAGATTCTGGATGGTTCTTAGCAGAAACAAAAATGTTTACAGTGAAACGGAGACTGCTGGAATATTTTGTCCAGAACTGATGAACWCCTGGAAACACCTGGCCTGATGACAAGTGGGAACAGGTGAGAGTGGGCGGAGACAAGTGACACTGAGGGAAACACTCAGCCTGATCAGGATGAAGAAACAGAACTAAACAAGACTCATAAAACACATAAACTGAACCATAAACATAAAAGAAAAGTAACCAAATTACACAGAAACAGCTCTGACTGCAGTTAATATCTTACCTRTTGTAGATATTTGTTCAAACGACATCAGTTTGACAAAAGTGTATTTTATGATGAGTTATTAAACACAACAATTGAAAATAAGACAGATTATTTTTCCAAACTTTGAAGAGTTTTTCTGTCAGTTAATTTACACTTTCATTGCTCTTCTGCAGGTCTTAAATAGTTCTGCTTTGAGGAAATGTAGCTACATCCCAGGAGAGATAAATCATGAATAAGAACGCAATCTAATGGTTAGTGTCATTTTTTTTTGGTGTTAAACCAAAGAGGAGAGGTTCAGGAGAAGTTTGTGAAGGCACTGATTGGGTGTGGGAGGAGTTTGTGAAAGAGAAAATTGGTCAATTGACTACTTTGGGTGGGGTTTCAAGAAGTCATAACGGTTTGGTTGGATGGATGTCAGGCAGCTGGATTGATGTGTGACAATTTAATTTATGTGAGGTTTCTGGCAGAATTACCCAGGGTGCAGGCAAAAATCCAACGTGCAAAAATTAAGGATTTATCATAAACAATGGAGGGCTGCAGTGGCAGCAAAAACTTACAGGAACTCTCTGAGGAACAACTTGCATGAGGAACATGGAGAGACACCACACTGACTGTGAAAACAGTACAATGATCAGACAAACACTGAAGACGGGACACGGAACATAAAGGGAGAACTTAACGAGACAACAAGAAACACCTGGAGACACAAGAGGAATCAGGTGGGCAGGAGGGGGGGGGCAGGAGGAACAACCGAGAACACAGGGAAATATAGAAACACTGGAAAACTAAAGCAGAAAAGACACAGACTGTGACAATTTAGCTCTGTCGAAATAACCAGCAAGCTCCCATACTTTTAAAGGGGCAATATCATGTTAAATCAACTTTTTTGAGTTTAATATCATGTTATAATGTTATACTCTCATAAAAAACATGCCCAGAGCCTTGATTTGACTCATTCATGCATGTTTGAGAAATCCTGCAGCGTTTTTAGGAAGCCATGCTGAGGAGCAAAACAACAGGTGGGGACCAGAAACGCCCCTGGGACGTGTCTTTAAGCAGAACTTCCTCATGGCAGAGCGCACCCCCTCCCCCACTCCCCACACACCCCGCCCATGACTCCTGCAGGCTCTCGGGTGAAAAACTGAAAGTGAAACTTAAACTGTCTGCTGAGCTCAACATTAGTTCTCACTCAGTGAAGCTCTTTTCAGATTCAAAATACTTTTGAGGAAATGTATTTTCAGATGCCAAGTAAACTGCATCAAAGCAGATGCTCTTCCCCCTGCGAGCGTGACACCCCCCGGCACCAAAATGGGACAGGACAGAAGCGGAAGGTGGTTCTTAAAGAGACAGAGACCAATTTCAAGGCGTTTAGAAGAGGAAGTGATGAGAAGATAAGCTTATTTTCTATTTAAATATAAAGATAGTGATTTAATAACAGCTAAAGGTGACATAGATACTTTATTATGGTATAGTATTTAAATATATGCCTGAGAAACACATTATATTGCCCCTTTAAATATTATTAGGATTACTCATAAATCCAGACAGGAGGTTGCTAGCCAAATCAAATTACAGTATTTACATGTTCACAATATTATTACATTATACCCCAGAGTTACGCTGGTCATTACTTCCAGTAAGAAAATCATGGGTAACAATCTCATTTTTTAACTTACCTGTTAATCCGACCAATCAAGGTTTGATCAAACTCCGCCCACACACAGGAACCTCCCACTTAGTGACTGCAGAGACCCCCTTACTAATTAAAGTGCTTCCTGGAGAGCTGAGGGACTTGATCAATAAGGATGTTTTTCCCAGCAAATTTTGTGTTTGGGGATTTGAACCCATGACCTCCCGATCACCTTTTCTAACCTCTGCTTCATCGCTCCTGCAAATTCCAGCCGTGTCACCCAATCATACTCGTTTAGTTCCTGCAGTGYTATTAAGGCTGACTTCCTGCTTCATCTTTTTAAATCACATCTATCCTCTCTGCGCACAAATCACCCACAGGTTCCAGACAAAACCATTTCGTTCAGGAAGCTCTGTGGGAAAATGCTGACGTGATGGATGGAGGGGCTTTTTAATGGAATGACACAAAGCAGCAAAAATAATAAATAAAAATATGAGCAACCGAATGTGTCGTAAAAATAGTAAGTAAAAATGAAATTGACAGATGTGTTTTAAATAGTTCTTGGATGACATTTAACACGCTGCCAGATGGGAGCAGATGGTGAATCCATTCTCACTGTTTCTAACAAGAGTTTTGACGTTAAAACCTACACAACTAATAATTCATCTATGTTTGGGTGTGTTTCAGAATGTTCTCTTTTCGATGATCCAAGACAAAAAAAACATGCATCCCAGAAGAAAGTAGTAATTCACACCACTGTATTGGACCCAGAAATGCAGACTGAACCCAAAACCAGCTCAAAATAAAGCTAATACTTTTATTTTAATGCACATGAATGCATTTGAGAATAAAGAGGCRTCAATTTCATAAAATACATCCAGTAGGGGTGGGCGATCCTGTTTTATCCGATATCAATATAGGTCTAATATCGCAGATACTGATGTCGATACTTCGTGTTCATTGAATACTTTTGTCATTTTGCCTTTTGTTAGTCAATTATGATAAAACGCAGGACAAAGATTTTAGGCAAATAAAAATGTTTTTATTAGGTAACTACAACAAAACAGAAGAATTCGAAAATGTATGGAAACAGTTGTTCAATTTTCTTGTAAGACAATATTTATGGAAATTATTGGGTTGTACTTTCTGATTTTATTTTTTTTACCTGTTTTTATTTGTCTCTGTATTTAATTTTTCTTTCTCATTTTACTAACTACAGCCATATAACACAATGTAACAATATGAAAAACATAATTAGAATAAATTCAACTATTACCTTCTACTACACATACTTAAGAAAAAAGTCACTTGTTCAAAGTAAAAAACGCATCTTGATCCGATACTGATTCTCACTTGTAATCTGTATTATCAATATCCAGATTAACAAAAAGCTAGCTTCGCTAACTCATAATCTGTTAAATAAAAATATGCTTAACTCTTAATTTTTTTAAACAATTTGCAGAAGCTAAGACTAAACAGCTAAACAAGTAACAATTAGCTGAAGTTAACACTATACAGCAAAAAAAGTAAAAAAATATAGCTAAAGCTAACAGCTAGCCGCTAAGACAATTTTCAGTCAGTCTGTGTCACGTTTTTGTTTCCTTTGAGCTGAAGATTGTTGGGACTGATGCAAACCTGTTTATGTTAGCTTGTTAGTTAGCTGTTAGCAGACTTAAAGGCACGGTGTGTAGGATTTGTTGTTTTCAGTGACATCTAGTGGTTGAGTGGTTGAATCATCCTCTCTGGTCCTCCCCCCACCCCCACCCCCCGTTTCCAAACGCAAAGGAGTTTCTACGGTGTCTCTCAGGTGTCAAAAACCTTTG